AAAAAAAAAAAAAAAAAAAAAAAAAAAAAAGGCAAAAGTAATCATGGAGAGTAGTTTACCTTGGACGGGGGGGTGTTGGGCCTTTTCTCAACCCGCCCAGATTTGGCATCGGCGAGATTGGCGGAGCTCTCTCTCTCAATAATGCCGGCGGGAGGATTTTCCTTCCCGGCGGTGTTAGCTGTGAGAGTTGAAAGGTTAGAAAATAAGAAGATAGCCAAAATTAAAATGAGAAAACGTATGAATATTTTACCTTTTGCTTGTGCCTTCTTCTTCTCTTTCTCTTGCTGGTAGGCTAATGAGCATGGGCAATGCCTGAAGATTCTATCTTCAATCTCTGAGCACGATTGAGAAAACCAATCGGCCGACATCTCTTTCCACCAATGGGTGAAAATATCAGAGTCACCAAATCGGGGATATCTAATCGGAATGCTGAAAGAATTCACCAAGTCTTGGTTGAAATTCGTCAAGGTGGTGACCTCTTTTGCATCCTTGAATTCTGCCCGCCAAGAAGAAAGCAGGTTGACGGAGTCCATGGGCGGAATCAGGAAGCTCTAAATGAAACCAAGTTGCTAGCCGGCGGCGGCGGGATAATAAAGTTCACCACCACAATGATAATTGCTACCTTTGTTCACCATTAGGCCGTACGGAAGATCTCGGCTAATGAGGATGCTCGCCCACATATTATGCCTCTCCTCCTTTGTCTCTGCCGTAGGATATGAGGAAAGATCCATGGCTAGATAATCCGGGAAGCGGTGATTTAAGCAAATAGAGAGATGCTCAATGGTCCTCTCCCGGCACTCATAGAAAAAGCGAAAGCAATCCTCAACATAATGCTTCCGGCGTGGGGCGTTGAGCAAGGGTGGACCCAAAAGAGCTTTATCGTTAGGGCAAACGGTGGCGGGACTTAGTTCCGGAAAATAGAGCTGGAGCCACAATTGAAAAATCCATATAGGGCCAGAAGCATGGTAATCCATTGGTTTAGTAATTACCTCACGGAGCCCTCTATAAAGATAGCCAAGAAAGATTGGGCCCATGGCCACTTGATGGCCATCTGCAAGTACTTCCGCCAAGGCTTGGAATTCCTTAGTAATCCCGCCGGATCTTGAGCATGCCAAGAACTTGCACAGCCACATCACCAGAAAAGCCACATGCTCAGTGTAGGATACGCCATTGATGGAAGGGGGGTCGGTGGGCTCTCCGCTATAGCCACGATATTTTTTCACCCAACTCCCGGAGGGTTTGGTCGACTTATGAAAATCTAAGCCCACCTTGGCCTCCGGAAGGTTGGCGGCCGAGAAATCATCTCCATGAGGGCGAAGGCCGGTGATAGCGGCCAGGTCTAGTAAGTTGGGTGTCATCATCCCAAAATGGAGCCTCATGCAATTGGTGGATGAAGACCAAAAGCATAGTGCCGCGATGACAAGAGATCGGTCGCAAGGAAAGGCGCTTCTCGCGCATAGGAGCAATGTATCATAGATTCCAATCTTCTTCCAATGCCCTTTTAATTTGGGTTCTAAAACTTTGAACCAATGACACCAATCAAATTTACCTTCCGCCGAGCTTGACTGGTTAGATTTCCCGGCGGCGGATGATGCTTTCTTTGGTGGGGCATCTTTACTTGCGGTGGAATCCTTTTTTATGGGGAGTCCCATTGGCCAACCTTTGAATGGCTTAGAGCTCTCCCAAGCAGTTGCCCATGTGAAGTCTGAAAAATAAGTTGGACCATTTCTCGGCTGCTTAACCCACACCTTTGCCACCTCCTCCGGATAGGTAGAGAAAAATGGGCCGAGAATATATTGGGCGGAATTGGGAAGGGCATTGAGGAAGTAGGCGAATACTTGCTTGCCCAAATCTTTGTCCATGGCCACCTTCATATCTTCAAAAAATTGGGCACTGTCACTTGAAATGGATTCCATCCTACAAACATGAAGTAGAATCGAATCAAAGGAAAATATAGTCAAGAATGTGAGATTCGAGTCAAGAACGCGAAGAACATCACGGCACTATTCATACATTCAAAGTTTCAAGCCTATACTTTTCAAAGCTACAAATTCATCAAAATCATACCAAAATCAACAGAGAATGAGTGAAACATACCTAGAAATTTGCAAACTTCAAGCTTGACGTTGATTTTGGTGGATTTGGTGTGTGAAATGATGAATGTGAAGATAAAGAGGATATGGGTTTTGAAGGAAAACCTTCTAAAATCTCTAGCTATGGTGGGATTGTTTGGGTATTTGTAATGCCTAGAAATTTTAACAAAGGTCTCCCCAATTTAATTTCAAAGCTTAATCACATGCAAGCCAATTATGAAAGGTCTTGGGTTTCGATTTTCATACCTCTACACCAACTCCGAGCTAAAAAAATCAGGGGGCAATGTTTGGGTTTGTTGAAAATCACAATTGAATTTGAGGCTTGCGGAGAGGTTGCGGCCGAAATCTTGGTGTTTTCGTGGCCGGTTGCACTGGAGAATTCGGCCAGATTTTTTTGCTTTCAATGCCCAGTTTTTATCGGCCAAGAGCCACAAGTTTTTGGGCAAGAGTCCTGGGGTTTTCGTGGAGACTGGAGTCTGTAGTTATTTTGCAAGACGGCTGAAGGTTTTGGAGGCTAAAAGTTAATATCAACCTCATATATATATATATGAGTTTAATATAAATTTTAAAGCCCAAGTGGTTAGCGAGGCCATATATATATAAGGATTCATGTGTTGTTTGGCCAACTTAAAAAACCGGGCGACCCACATGTATAAATTAAAACATGAAATTATATATGTAAGTGCAATTGCTTTGGGTTGTTCCATGTGCGGCCAGCTCCCAAATCCACGCCCTATACATTCTATTTTATGATAATATAGTTGTTTGAGGTGGTCAAAAAGTCACCCAATTTGCCAAGGAAGAATTCATAAAGGCGGATTCTAGGTGGCCGAGTGTTTTCTCAAAAAAGCGGCCAAGGTGTCTTCTCTTGCAAAAAAGTTGGGCTAAAGTGATTGGGCATATCATATTGATATATTCATTTATATATATATATATATATATATAAATGGGTGGATGCATGCATGAATACGGCCAAAGCTTGGAGTTCTTTGGAATTGAGGTGGCCAAAAAGCTTTTGTAAAGCGAATTGCAAAGGTGCGGTGGGGCACTGCTGGAATTACTAGGATATCTCGGCGGGTTTTTTGTAGAAGTTGCGGCGGGATTTTGTAGAAATCTCGGCGGGATTTTGTAGAAGCTCGGCGGGATTTTTGTAGAAGTTGCGGCCGGATTTTTTGGTTTGGAGCAAACACAGTTTTGGAGAATGGCGGCCT